TGAAATAGGCAGAAAAACGAAATATTCCTTCCTAGCAGAAAGTAATAATTCAAACAGCAGATCTATAAACAGTATTACGCAAAACACGTGCAGCCGTCTGTCTCTTCTGTTGACTAATCGCTTGGCTTGGTTTGTGGTGATGTTCTTTTAGGTGTGAGTATAACGTGCATTGTGTAAATCACAACGACCTGCTCTGATAATCGCTACTTCTGCAATATGCGCAATTTATTTATTTATAGAACATAAGTGCAAATGTAAAGTGATTTATATGTAACGTGGTTTAGCAAAAACAGATGAATCTTTTGAGAACAGCAGGCCGTATTTCATCCCAACAATAAACCAATAGAACAAAATATATATTTAGCATAAAAATGCCTATTTTAGTCCCATTAAATATTGTGACATTATTTTCATGACAATTAAGCACATCCTCATTACTGTAATGCATCCAGATTTTAATTTCCAATTTTTCTTAACAGTGGTCAAATGACTGTAATACAGTATTTTTAAAATATAAATCAGCATTAAAGTGGTACAACAGAGATATATATATACTAACCCTAATCATGTTAACAACATGCTAATCATGTTAGCATGATGTTAACATGTATGCTAGCATGTTTTAGTAAAATACTAACATGATTAGCATGAGGCTAACACAATTAGTATATTATTAGCATGATGCTAACATGTTTTAACAAGGTAGAAACATCACTAGCATGATGCTTACAGGTTTAACATGTCATTAATATGTTTTTAGCAAGATACATTATGATTAACATGTTAGCATGAGTTAACACTTCACTAGATGTTGCTAGCATGCTTTTAACATGTTCTTAGCATGTTTTAGCACTTAATGCTGGCATGACTTAACATATTGTTAGCATGATGCTAGCACATTTTGGCTTGTTTTGGTCATGTTTATACAATTACCTAAGATTTTTAGCATTTTTTTTAGCACTCTTAGCTTGTAGCTGTTCACTGCTAGCTTGTGTAGCATGTTGGAAATCCTGTTTGCTAGCATGAGTCAAAAGAACCAAGTCCGATGTCTATACGGCGTTCTGATGTAGAGATATATAATTATTAAAATGTCATAACATTATTTAATATTATTTCATTATAAATTATTCTATGTTATTATAATTAGTAATTGGATTTCATACTTTTTTATGCAAAATATTATTATTATTTTTTTCTTGGTACAGTAGGTCAAATAGAAAATATATTAACTCACACACCTGATTTGTCATTTCTAGGGGCATCTGATTAAAAATTAAAAATACACTTGAAAAAAGTATTAATGCCACACACTAAAACACAATTTTATTTGCAACATTTGGCTCAGCTGAAACATATGTTGCTTACAACTAGGGTTGCAAAGGGGTGGAAAATTTCCGGAAACTTTCCAAAAATCCCTTGAATATTCCAAAATATCCTGGAATATTTTCTAAATTTACTGGACATTTTCCACCTTTTTGCAACCCTACTTACAACACATGCAAAAAAAAAAATATATATATTTTTCTTATTTTTGCGATGATGAAAGTTTGAGTAGTGTGCAAGATTTCTACATAGCTTTTTCACAAAGTGAAATATGACCCGTACATGTTCTTGACTGGTTTTGTGAAATTCACTCAAGTATTTTGTTAATCTCTTTATCTCTGTGAATTTTCTGCCAGTTGTTCTGACTCGCTGCGTCTCATCTTATTTCCACCAAGCGTGCGTCTTTGTTCTTTTCCGGTCCTCCTGTTTCCACGGATCTCCTTCACTCACATCACACTAACAGGATTGGGTTGTTTCCCGCGCACGTGTCTTAAGAGCTTTTTGACATGATTATATAACATACCAACCCACCTCTAAGTGATGCTGCTATGTTTTATATATAAAACATCTCGAGGAGGAACATTCAGTGTGCACCAAATAAAACCTATTTTCCTCTCCATGGGGCCTTTGCTTCATTTAAAGCAGAAGATGGGTCAGTTCTGCTCCAAAAGCCACTAAAAATAAACCTCTCCACCAACGAGAGTGAAGCCCTGGCTGGTAATTTTAGCTGCGTTGTGTTCGGGGAATCCGTGCTGTTATTTAGGGCTGATGAAAGTTCCCTTTCTGTCTTACAGACTGAAGTGATGCTCACAGTCCTGCCTTCCAGAGCACAATGAACAAATAATCACAGAAATGTGAGGATTTCTTTCAGTGTTATCGGTTACTACAAGCAAAACTAATAAAAACAGTGAAATAAAGCTGGAATTAAAACAAAAGAATACATTTTAGATGAGAAACTATTTTAAAAAATGAAACGAAAATTAGAATGTTGGCAACTAACTGGAATAAAATTAATTGTTGAACTACTAAAAATAAAAATAAAACTGAAATAAAAATAAATTAAAGCTGAATTTAAATGTTTAAATTAAAATCTAATAAAAATGTCAAAAACATAACAAAATTACTAAAACAAACTAATGTTAAAATGAAAACAGAAAATATAAAAAATAAAGCTATATTAATAAATATAGGAGATATATAATAATAAATAATAATAATAAATAAAAATAAATTAAATCTAAATAGAAAGTTTGTCAAATGCACATAAAATTACTAAAACTTACATTAAAACATGAACATATAAAAAATAGAACCTATATTAATAAATACTACAATAGTATAAAATTACTAAAATTAAAACTGAAATAAAAATGTAAAAAGCTAAATGTAAATGTTAAAAAAAGCACATAACAAAATGACTAAAACTTGAACTAAAAAAATTAATTTTGAAAAAATACAAATAAAATATTACTAAAGTAATGCATAGTGTTGTCTTTTTCATCAGGTCACAGAGCACATGAATAAACGCATTATGGTAATACAGAAAATGTGCTTAAATGCTTTTAAAACTTACTCGTACTTTTAAATGTATTATTATTATTATTATTATTTTAACACCATGTCAGGAGCATGGTGAGAACAGTCAATTACAAAAGTCAGAGAATTATCAAAAAACTATATATATAAAAAATGTCTGATTAATACAAGAGAAAACTTGTAATATACTGTATGAGACGAATCATACTGATGAACATTTGAGATTTTCTGTGTTCTGTTGGAGACTGACAAGCCCTGGTCAAGATCCAGAAAAGAGCAGCATGAACATTTTGTTAAAAATCTCCTTTTGCGTTTCACAGAAGAAAACATACAGACACATTTGGAACAACATGAGGGTGATGTTTAATTTTTGTGAACTTCCCGTCTGTAAACCTGAAATACTGACACAAGAAACGATCTGAAAGGAGTTTGAGGGAGTGAAAACACCACAGTTTTCTGACACTTTCAGCGAGTGTGACACTGTGACGGAGGATTCTGGGGTCAGCGCATCAGATCATGTTGTGTGTGAACGCGTGAGAGTGTGTGTGTGTGTGTGTGTGTGTGTGTGTCGTGCGAATGGACCGTGAGAAATTCTGCTGCCGTGTCTGACTGGAGGGATCAGATCGAAGCGACATCACACACACAGCAACAGCAGCAGAAATACACAGTGTCATAACACTGCATGTACTTTACAACCGGCATGAGAAGAGAGCGAGGAAACACCCTTCTCTCATTCTCCACAACACAACACTCCACAATATCACTGCTTAGAAAATGCCATACAGTACATATTTAACAAATCTCAGCACTCAAGGCCGAATGGGTTTCCTTCAAGCATCTACGCTTTTAAACCACATGTGCTATTATTTAGGTCTGAAATATACATGAAAACACATTTATCACTGGACCGCTAAAAGTTTCTTACTTGCACAAGAGAAATCTTTTTGGCACACAGAATGCGAGCAAATACTGAACTGAGTTCTCATTCTTGCTTTTGAACAGACAAATGCAGCCAACGTTATGTCAAAATGCGAGTATTCTTGTAAACACAGACGTTAATGTTTTAAGTGAATGTAAACCGTTGGAAAAGAAACCTGATGTGTATAATAATGTTGGATCCATGCATTAGGTCTTAAAGTGACAGCAGCCTAATATACCAGTCTTTTAATGTTAATTAAACAACAAAAGGAAAGAAGAGTACTGGCTTACACGGGTCAAAAATAACTTTATTAATTGATTGATTCTATGAAAAACCTACAACAAAAATTTGGGTAAAGCTATCCGAGAGAACATTAGCTGAATGTGTTAGATATTGAAATTTTATATATATATATATATTTTTTTTTTTTTTGGCAGGGCAAGAAAAACTTTGGCCTAACCACGCCAAAAGAAAATAATTAATTCCTGAACACTTATTGAACCGGAACAACTAACTTTAGCCAACAACTGTTGATTCTGTTGATTACATTTATATATTAATTATTCATTAATTAATTAATCAATTTTATTTATTTAATATTTAATATGTATTTTATTTTATTTATTTAAATAAATAATATTTTATTTTTTACATTTATTTTTATTTTTTATTTTTTTTGTGGCGACAGGGCCATTGACAATTTTGCAAGGGCAAGTAAAAATCTCAACAACTGGCCTGACTGGGCCAGTAGAAAACATCCTTTACGTTGAGCCCTGAACACTTTAACCAACTTCAACCAACACCTGTTGATCCACCATGACAGTAGTTGCCCTGAAAGTGAAAACTAACCACAGAAGAAGACAGTTTGTGTTCATGCCCTCTATAGCATCCCTTGAGGACACATTTGAGTAGGTTTATGGTTGCACTGATCTTAGAGTCTTTGTAAACCCTGCTGGTTAGTCTCCGCTCTTACCTGGTCCAGCAGCTGGTTATAGAGCTCATGGCAGTTGTCAAAGATGTATTTGTAGGTGGAGTCCAGACAGGCCTTCACACAGTCTTTAACCACCATACTGGCTCTGGGAGGATTCTGCAGCTCCTGCACCTGCAGCACAAAACACACTCACAGTCAGTCCTGTGTAGTTTGTAGTTTCTGTGGCCTTTCTGCAAAGTTTTCAGATTGTTGCTATGCTCTGTAGCTGTTAAGATGTTTTGTACTATTATGGTGTGCTCAAGTCCTCCTGGGAAGTGTATTTTTGAGTTGGAACGCTGTAATTATGAAGCCAGATGTGTTCAAATTACTTTGGTTTCAGAAGATTGCTAATGTAAATTTTCTAAATAAATCAATAAAAAATACAGCAAGATTTTAAAACTACTTCTGCAATATTATGAATAAAGAATGCAGATTAGCTGTGATTTTGCTCATGTTTGTATTCGATAAGATATTCAGTTAGATAGATAGATAGACAGACAGACAGACGGACGGACGGATAGATGATAGATGATAGATGATAGAGGATAGAGGATAGATAGATGATAGATGATAGAGGATAGATAGATGATAGATGATAGAGGATAGATGTATATATATAGATAGATAGATGGATATACAGTGGGTACGGAAAGTATTCAGACCCCCTTAAATTTTTCACTCTTTGTTATATTGCAGCCATTTGCTAAAATCATTTAAGTTATTTTTTTTTCCTCATTAATGTACACACAGCACCCCATATTGACAGAAAAACACAGAATTGTTGACATTTTTGCAGATTTATTAAAAAAGAAAAACTGAAATATCACATGGTCCTAAGTATTCAGACCCTTTGCTCAGTATTTAGTAGAAGCACCCTTTTGATCTAATACAGCCATGAGTCTTTTTGGGAAAGATGCAACAAGTTTTTCACACCTGGATTTGGGGATCCTCTGCCATTCCTCCTTGCAGATCCTCTCCAGTTCTGTCAGGTTGGATGGTAAACGTTGGTGGACAGCCATTTTTAGGTCTCTCCAGAGATGCTCAATTGGGTTTAAGTCAGGGCTCTGGCTGGGCCATTCAAGAACAGTCACAGAGTTGTTGTGAAGCCACTCCTTCGTTATTTTAGCTGTGTGCTTAGGGTCATTGTCTTGTTGGAAGGTAAACCTTCGGCCCGGACGGACAGACAGATAGATAGATAGATAGATAGATAGACTTACTAATTAATTAGCAACCACTGAACGATGGCCAAACTCTCTATTTTTCTCTATTTTTCCAGGATATTGTGGACTTGTACAGAAGAAGACACTAAAAACACGCACTCAGCGTATGTAAATTAATAACTTGAGACTGTACATTAGCGTGTGTTTCTCTTTGTCTTATGTAACAGCTAATGTGTCCCATTCCTCCGCGCGTGTCGTGTTGGTGTTTCTGAACGCGAGCGCTAAAGGAAGGCATAAACATCGCCCCGGCATAGGCGCTCTTCCAATACCCATAATGC